AAAATTTTATATAATAAGATGTTATTATTTATATGAAGAACTTTCTTTCAATAAAAACATTATTATAGATGCTCTCACTATCAGTTGGAGATAACTTACTCGTTGAACTTTGAACTAAAATTTATCTCTTAAATATTATTTACTTATTTTATTAATATTATATATTCTTCCAGCTATTTGATATAAGCTCAATTTTTGTATAGTTTTTTTATTTATAAAAATATAATTAATTAATTAATTTTAATTGCAAATTGATGTTAAAAAATTTGTTTTTAAACAAATACACCCAACACGTCTTCGTTTTTTGTAATTTATAATTATTTTTAAAAAACAGAAAATGAATCCACAAAAGTCATAAAAAATATGTGAGGGTTACATGGGCTTTGAATCCAATTTATTTTCTAAAAATGGTGCTATTAGATACATATTATTTGTTTATGCTATTTAGGGTATTAATGCCAGACTTAATTTTATAATATTTCAGAAAAAGGCACATTTGAATTGAAATATTGACAACTGTAAAATTCAACATCTCTTTTTTATTTGACGAAAATAATTTTTTAAAGGGAAACGACTTACACCTATCCAAGGTTGGGTGAAAATACAGATTGGTACCCAAAAGGTTTAAAAAAGACAAACAGGTACCTTTCATTAGTGAAAAGACTAGAATGCCCTTTAAGAAATATTAGTCTATTTTTTTAATTACTTTTAGACCTCTTAAGTTTATTAATTCCAACAAATACCCCAAAAAAAAGTTTAAAAATTAACAAAAATACCCCCACCCACTCATACTTGTCAGATTCCGGTGACTACCGCCGGTGGTAGCCGAAATATGTCACAACGGTCTACGCCACCACCGGAAATGGCTGGTAGTTCACCGATCTGGCATTTTCAAGTCAGTCTGGCTTTTTTCGGCCAGATCCACTGTAGATCTGGCCAGAAAAGGCCAGATTGGTGAATTACTGGCCATTTACGGTGGTGGCCTCTAGAATCTGATAAGTATGGGTGGGTAGGGGTATTTTTGTTAATTTATAAACTTTTTTCGGGGGGTATTTGATGGAATTAATAAAATTAAGGGGTCTAAAAGCAGTTAAAAAATAGACTGATATTTCTCAAAAGGTATTCTAGTATTTTCACTAATGGAAGGTATCTGTTTGTTGTTTTAAAACTTTTTGGATATCAATTATTGTTTCGTCAAACCTTGGGTAGGCATAATCGTTCGGCCATTTTTAAATTTGAAAAATTAGGCCATATGAAATATGACAACTGACTTGGGTTACTGAGTCCAGTGGACTGGTCTAGTGACGGCGTCGGGTTTGGAAACTCAGCTCCGGCCCATTGTCTTCCTTCTTAAAAGTTTTCTCGGGAAAGAAAACGCAAGAAAAAATTCAAAGAGAAAATCAAATCGTAGTCAAAATCAAATAAATAAAATAAAATAAAAAAACAACACCGAAAACCCTTGAAAAAAAAAGAAACTTTCGCCATCCCGCGCAATATTGCTCTCCAATTGAAACCCTCACTGTCTTAGGAATCTCAAATCATCACTTCTCGAATCCTGAAGATTAGAAATTACCCTAGAATTACGATCCTCTCAACGGAACCCAACTGTNATGGAATTATTAAATAGTTGTCAGAATAATTTAAAAAATAGTTAATAATATCTTAAACTACTATAAATTGGACCGAAGTTTTAGTGTTTTGGTGCTAATGACAACACAAATTTGTTGCAAAAATATGCGAGGTCGTATATTAATATCATGATTCATGAGTTTATTGAGATATGCAACAAATATTCAACCCCATAAGCCGATCTTGTTTGCGTATATTTTCAAAATCAAGGTCTTCAAAAGTAAACCAGTGACAGAATGATGATAATGAATTTTACCTTTTATTTCCTCAAGGGGTCCATATCTCAAAATATATTTTATGTGGTCCACTCCAATCACACTGCCTACTGCTGGTCCCGCTCAATTTTGTCGTCACTTTGAATAATTAGTAAATGACTTGTCGTATACTCGTATCAGAAAACCTACTAGTCTTCCTTGCTTGGTGAAACTCCCAATAACAATTATAGTGACAAAGGAATATAAATCATACATTTTGATTCAATCAGCTAATTAATATATGTTAATTTTAAATAATATATTCCAATGATGAAATTATTGTCTTTCATTAAGAACATGATCTACAGGAGCATGTAACTTTGAAAGCAGCCGACTTTGTTGTAGGCCATTAACAATGTAAGAATCTACAAGATGGGAGATAGACTATTAAATATGTTGGAAGTGAGAAAGGGTTAAAGGTAATAGAGGAACATACTATAATTGGTTTGAGTTTAATAAACTTTCTGAGTGACAGATAAAAGAAGCGTTTGTTTGTTTGTTTAAGGGGTATTGATATCTGACGTTTGATTCACCTTCTTAACCATTAGTCTTAATGGCTCTCTCTGCATCTACTTTTGTGAGACTGATTTTTTTAATCAAAAGAGTTTAGGTTTACGAGGGTTCAAAACTTCAAATTATGGGATCTTGGACAAGACAAGAGACTGTCTTAATCATTTATTGTCTCTAGGGGTTTATAACAATGTCCTTCTTAATATTTGATCAAAGGAACAAACACATCCAAGAGATTGGTTACTTTACCATAATACCTTTTTTTTTATTCTTTCTAATTATATATTCTTTTCAGTTTTAATTTCTTCAATTTTTATTTTAACTATATAAACAATAATATTTATTCACCAATTTTATATACTATATTACAATTGAAACGCAATAAACTAAACATAAAAAAAAGCTAAATTTAATTAAAAAAATATGAATAAAATAAAATGGGAGAGAAATATAATAAGATAAAGGATACTAAACTTTTTCCAAACAAAGTTCTAGATTTTGTTTTGTTTTCCTTCAATTTTTATATAGTTAAATGAAGATTGAAAAGAATATATAACTAGACAAAGAGTATTAAGTGACCAACTGTTTTGGTTCAGTTGTTATCTTCTGAAAGTTTCGGGTATACTTAAAGCTTTCCCAAAGCTTTAGGAGGAAATAGTAATAAACCATCTCTAGGGTTTGAGTTTGATACGTAACATCAAATTAACATCGGTCGTACGTACTAGACACGTGTCAAGAGAGAAGTGTGTGAGAGGGTTGTTGTCTAGAGGTTTGAGTGATGCAAAGTAGCAGATATAAATATGGTATAATTAAAATAAAATCTTAACCATCAAATCGAATTCATGGATAGTAAACATAAAAATAGATGATAAAAAAATCAAAAGGAAAAGGGGAACACTAGGGTTTGGTTGTGCCCCATTATCAAAAACTGTCAACCTAACTCTTCATCAAACAGGGAAAAACCCTAGCTAGGGTTGGAAGTTGGAGCTATGGCTCAAACACTTAAACAACTCCATGGGGGACTCTCTGAACAAAACATGCAACTTAGGGCTGCATTTATTTGTACTTTGTACATAATACAACCTCAAGCACACCTTTTTTTTTCATTAATTCTTCAGTACTAGTACATCTACATGGGACGAATATGATTTCCAGAGTCAAAAACTGTCGACCTAACTCTTCATCGAACGGGGGAAAAACCCTAGCTAGAGTTGGAAGTTGGAGCTACGGCTCAAACACTTAAACAACTCCATGGAGGACTTTCTGAACAAAACATGCAACTTAGGGCTGCATTTGTTTGTACATAATACAACCTCAAGCACACCTTTTTTTCTTTTTTTTTAATTTTAAAAATTTCTCTTTGATTTTGGGGAAAAATTATAAAGATATTATATTGCTAGTATTTCGATAATCTAACTTACATAAATATGCTTTTAATTGTTTGAAAACGTTTTTACAAAGTGCAGGTGCTCCAAAATTGACGAAATATAAATTCGTGAAGATCTCAAATTCAAAATAAGTATAAAATGCCTTTACTGATTGAAAACATTTTACAGGCTGCCAAAAGCAATCACAACTTACTTTTCTATAATTAGTTTTAGATGGATTTATCAAATAGTTGTTAGAATAACATAAAAAAATAATTGATACTTTCTTAAACTACAACCATTATAAAAAAGTTTTAGTGTTTAACTGCTCATGACAACTGAAATTTGTTGCAAATATGCGAGTTTGTACATTAATATCATGATTCATGATTTTTTTATTATTTTTTTTTTTTATAACCAAAGGTATTTGGATCAGTTTACGCGTATTTCAACTAATTTTTTGATACCTTGAAACGCTTTAGTGACTATTCTCATTAGCCATTAGCAACTGATGAAGCACTTGAACTTAGGATCTCTTGAGTAATACATTCAAAAATCTCTATCGAACCGCTCATCCACCCAAAGTTAGTTAGAATTTTAGAATTGAAAGCTGATTAATTTTAAATGGATTTATTAAATAGTTGTCAGAATAATTTAAAAAAATGGTTAATAATTTCTTAAACTACAACAACTACTATAAATTGGACCGAAGTTTTAGTGTTTTGCTGCTAATGACAACACAAATTTGTTGCAAAAATATGCTATATTAATATCATGATTCATGAGTTTAATTCATTAGTTTATTGAGATATGCAACAAATACTCAACCCCATAAGCCGATCTTATTTCCGGTATATTTTCAAAATCAAGATCTTCAAAAGTAAACCCGTCACAGAATGATGATAATCAATTTTACCTTTCATTTCTTCAAGGGTCCATGTCTCAAATATATTTTATGTGGTCCAATCACACTGCCTAGTGCCTACTGCCGGTCCCGCTCAATTTTGTCATCACCTTGAATAATTAGTAAATGACTTGCCGTATACTCATATTAGAAAGCCGACTAGTCGTCCTTACTTGGTGAATTGCATGATTTGTCATTTTTACAGAAGTTTAATGGACCCCCAATAACAACTCTAGTGACAAAGGAATGCAAACCATACATTTTGATTCAATCAGCTAATTAATATATGTTAATTTTAAATAATCTATTCCAATGATGAAATTATTGTCTTTCATTAAGAACATCTAGAGGAGCATGCAACTTTGTGAGCAGCCGACTTTGTTGTACGCCATTAACAATGTAAGAATCTACAAGCCATAGCATACAACACAATAATTTACAAGGTAAAGCACCTTCCACAAACAAAATGGAAGACAGAATATGCCTACACTCCTCTTAAGAAACTTACAAAAATTTTCGGAATCAACAGAATTTTATAGCCCACGATTGCTAAGGTCTCCAGTCAAATCTTAAGTGTTTGAGCGACTGCCCACCTTCAACCACTCTGCATTCTGTTGCATACATAGTTCTGCAGGTTGATCAGAACCAATTTGAAGTGCTGAAATCCCGAAGCTTTCTTAGATGTCTCTCCATGTCTTGCCTGGTCTTGACCCACTCTTCTCTCTCTATCACAGTGGTGGGATCATCTTTTTCGCTCTAAAAGCATAGAAAGAAAACGGTGAATCAGACAATATATTACTTATTGATGAAAGGTAATGTGGGTTTAGTAAAGAGACACTCACTGCATGAATAATTCTGAAGGAGTTCCCATTATCACGAATTACAAGTAAATCACTCTTTCTATCTCTGCTTCTTGGAACTGTGACCTATAAGAAGCACATTGACTATTAAAACATAAATCCGGGCCATAAGTAACCAGTAGATCATAAATAAAAGAAAAAATAAATAAAAACAAGCAATTGTCCTTTTAAGGATTGAATAGATAAACTTGTTGGTTAATAGACACAGGAACAAAAGAATCCTACAAAGTGCAAACACCAGAACTCCAACTCATGATCAACACATCTTCTGTAGTTAAAAAATACATCATATAGGCATGCCAAAATGATGTAGAAAAACTTGAATTCAAGAAGCAACATTAACACAGGATACTAAATCAATTTAAACACTAAAAATGCATACCAAAACTTTAGCTCTGGTAATCGACTTTGTTTTAGAATCGATAACATAAATTTCCTCAAAATCTAGCACAAACTCTGGGTCACCCAACCTCCTGTTTCTGAAATGCTTTGTCAGGAATACCTGCAACATATATCAGCATGGTGAATATGTTTCCAAAAACATTACATCATTACAGAAAAGTCATTTTTTTTAAGGCAAGGTTCCTTTCATCTTCTAAATGCTGTAAAGCAAACAGCCAATCGCAAAAAGAAAGTGTGCCAATGACCACTTATTCTCCTCTATTGCATTCTTATCTAACAGAAATTATCAAATTTTTTAGTAGTAAACAAGTCACCTCCAACAGATGATTAGTACAGAGTAAACAAGCCAAACAAAAAGCCAGAAGTTAAGATGCAATTAATGAGTTGCTAAGGATTTTTTATTCATATAAAAATAATAACTTTAGAGCAATAAAATTGAAACAGTTTTACATATTTTACATGTTGGAGTCCTTGTGTGTGTTTTGTGTGACAGGTACAAACCAGAAACTAAAGAATTTACAGCGGTTTATAAGAAATAGCTGAAATATCATACAACAAAACATCAGTCATACCTTATGAATCTCCCTCTCAGATTTGTACATTGGATCTCGAGGTGCATCAATGGGTGGTTCTGTGACATTGTAGCACCCATAATCACTCTTTGCACAGCGAATGTACTACAATTTCGACATTCAGGAAACAGGTACCATTAACAAGAAAACTTAGGATACTCCTCATATGAATAAAGAGCAACAGCTTAATTAATGGCTTCACATGATTAAGGAGGGAAAAGAATAGTTCCAAGTTCCTGGTCTATAATTCAACTGTAAAATCATGCTCAAATGTCTAAACCATAGAAAAATGAGGCCTTCCTCTGCAGAAGGTGGTGACAAGTATTACTTTTCTATAATTAGTTTTAGATGGATTTATCAAATAGTTGTTAGAATAACATAAAAAAATAATTGATACTTTCTTAAACTACAACCATTATAAAAAAGTTTTAGTGTTTAACTGCTCATGACAACTGAAATTTGTTGCAAATATGCGAGTTTGTACATTAATATCATGATTCATGATTTTTTTATCTTTTTTTTTTTTTTTTATGTCTAAGGGTATTTCGATCAGTTTATGCGTATTTCAACTAACTTCTTGATACCTTGAAACGCTTTAGTGACTACTCTCATTAGCCACTACTCTTAACAATCGATGAGATACTTGAACTCAGGATCTCTTGAGTAATACATTCAAAAGTCCTTATCCAGCCACTCAACTACTCAAAGTTAGTTAGAATTTTAAAATTGAAAGTTGATTAATTTTAAATGGATTTATTAAACAGTTGTCATTAAAAAATAGTCAATAATATCTTAAACTACAACAACTACTATAAATTGGACCGAAGTTTTAGTGCTTTGCTGCTAATGACAACACAAATTTGTTGCAAAAATACGCGAGCTCGTATATTAATATCATGATTCATGAGTTTAATTCATTAGTTCATTGAGATATGCAACAAATATTCAACGCCATAAGCCGACCTTATTTTCGGTATATTTTCAAAATCAAGATCTTCAAAAGTAAACCAGCGGCAGAATGATGATAATGAATTTTACATTTAATTTCCTCGAAGGGTCCATGTCTCAAATATGTTTTATGTGGTCCAATCACACTGCCGCTCAATTTTGTCTTCACTTTGAATAATTAGTAAATGACTTGTCGTATCAGTAAACCTACTAATCGTCCTTACTTGGTGAATTGCATGATTTGTCATTTTTACAGAAGTTTAATGAACCCCCAATAACAATTCTAGTGACAAAAGAATGTAAATCATACATTTTGATTCAATCAGCTAATTAATATATGTTAATTTTAAATAATCTATTCCAATGATGAAATTGTTGTCTTTCATTAAGAACATCTACAGGAGCATGCAACTTTGTAAGCAGCCGACTTTGTTGTATGCCATTAACAATGTAAGAATCTACAAGCCATATCATACAACACGATAATTTACAAGGTAAAGCAACTTCCACAAACAAAATGGAAGACAGAATATGCCTACACTCCTCTTAAGAAACTTACAAAATTTTTCGGAATCAACAGAATTTTATAGCCCACGATTGCTATGGTCTCCAGTCAAATCTTAAGTGTTTGAGCGACTGCCCACCTTCAACCACTCTGCATTCTGTTGCATATTTATCTCCATGAAAAGATAACATAGTTCTGCAGGTTGATCAGAACCAATTTGAAGTGCTGAAATCCCGCAGCTTTCTTAGATGTCTCTCCATGTCTTGCCTGGTCTTGACCCACTCTTCTCTCTCTATCACAGTGGTAGGATCATCTTTTTCGCTCTAAAAGCATAGAAAGAGAACAGTGAATCAGACAATTTATTACTTATTGATGAAAGGTAATGTGGGTTTGGTAAAGAGATACTCACTGCATGAATAATTTTGAAGGAGTTCCCATTATCACGAATTACAAGTAAATCACTCTTTCTATCTCTGCTTCTTGGAACTGTGACCTATAAGAAGCACATTGACTATTAAAACATAAATCCGGGCCATAAGTAACCAGTAGATCATAAATAAAAGAAAAAATAAATAAAAACAAGCAATTGTCCTTTTAAGGATTGAATAGATAAACTTGTTGGTTAATAGACACAGGAACAAAAGAATCCTACAAAGTGCAAACACCAGAACTCCAACTCATGATCAACACATCTTCTGTAGTTAAAAAATACATCATATAGGCATGCCAAAATGATGTAGAAAAACTTGAATTCAAGAAGCAACATTAACACAGGATACTAAATCAATTTAAACACTAAAAATGCATACCAAAACTTTAGCTCTGGTAATCGACTTTGTTTTAGAATCGATAACATAAATTTCCTCAAAATCTAGCACAAACTCTGGGTCACCCAACCTCCTGTTTCTGAAATGCTTTGTCAGGAATACCTGCAACATATATCAGCATGGTGAATATGTTTCCAAAAACATTACATCATTACAGAAAAGTCATTTTTTTTAAGGCAAGGTTCCTTTCATCTTCTAAATGCTGTAAAGCAAACAGCCAATCGCAAAAAGAAAGTGTGCCAATGACCACTTATTCTCCTCTATTGCATTCTTATCTAACAGAAATTATCAAATTTTTTAGTAGTAAACAAGTCACCTCCAACAGATGATTAGTACAGAGTAAACAAGCCAAACAAAAAGCCAGAAGTTAAGATGCAATTAATGAGTTGCTAAGGATTTTTTATTCATATAAAAATAATAACTTTAGAGCAATAAAATTGAAACAGTTTTGCATATTTTACATGTTGGAGTCCTTGTGTGTGTTTTGTGTGACAGGTACAAACCAGAAACTAAAGAATTTACAGCGGTTTATAAGAAATAGCTGAAATATCATACAACAAAACATCAGTCATACCTTATGAATCTCCCTCTCAGATTTGTACATTGGATCTCGAGGTGCGTCAATGGGTGGTTCTGTGACATTGTAGCACCCATAATCACTCTTTGCACAGCGAATGTACTATAATTTCGACATTCAGGAAACAGGTACCATTAACAAGAAAACTTAGGATACTCCTCATATGAATAAAGAGCAACAGCTTAATTAATGGCTTCACATGATTAAGGAGGGAAAAGAATAGTTCCAAGTTACTGGTCTATAATTCAACTGTAAAATCATGCTCAAATGTCTAAACCATAGAAAAATGAGGCCTTCCTCTGCAGAAGGTGGTGACAAGTTGAAAGCACTTGTCCTTTCCACTCCTTGTTCTAAGAGTAAAACATAATAGTTTTACTTCAAAGCATGCTATAGCAAACGCAGTTGAGTGACAAACTTTTTACCTCCATTGACACTTGCTAACAAAAAAGTTTCATTCTTTCTAAAAAAAATCTGCTGACTTTTGCAACACCAGCAATATGAGCTCAGAATGCCTGTACGATATGCTAAGTAAGGGAAATCTTCAAATTAAATTTCTTCTTCAACACTAATCACTTCTATAAAGATGAAGTACTATGAAATTGTATGTATTGACTCGTAAGTGATTACTTAGGAGGTACTTTTCCAATTGATATGTGAAATGGAGACATTGTAATATTGAACTTTAAAGTTTGCAACAACATGATGCTAAACACAGAACTAAATTGTGTATTATGAGTACATAATACTTTTAATATATTGCAAATATGATGTTTGATAAATATCACAGTACAGATAACAAAAAGCAAGAATAGCTAGAACTCAAGGTACCTTTTGCGGCATTGGAGCAAGAACCTTTGGTATCGCATAAATATCAGTATCCGGGGGAGTAACATACATCTACATATCAATGAACCAACATTGAATACTTTTAAACACCAAATCTCAGCTCAAAAATCCCATTAACTGCTAATTAAACACTGAACATTCAAATGCACAAAGCGGAAACTCTAATAAAACTTAAGCAAGTAGATAACAAACTTTCATTATTTAATACAATTAATTTATCAGAATATTTATTAAAAAAACTAACCTCTCTGAAATCGTAGACATCATTATCAGGATCCGGAGGTTTCCTAATAAAGAAATCACATTCCATCAAACTGATTTTATGAAACTCCTCCTCGTCAATTCTATAATCCACCACCATCTCGGAGTCCCAGCCTTGCGTATACACAAAGCTCTTGCTATCAACCATCGTAATGTCGTCGTCACCGGTGCCACTAGCAGAAGCAGCTAGCGGGTCGTACTCCACGTCGTAGTCCTTCTTGTTGTCCAGCTCCTCCACCTCTTCCTCGTCCATGTCGTAGTCGTCGGGACCGCCGCCGTCCGCATCGCCCTCGTCGGCGCGTACGACGAAGGGGCTTTTGTAGGGTTTAGGGGAAGGAAAAGAGATGGAGGGCAAATGAGCGGCAGAAGGAAAGAATGCTGTGGTTTTTGTTGTGGTGGTGGTGAAAGAGAGGGGTTTGGGAGCGAAGAATGGTGGAGAAAGGAGGAGAGTGGTGGTGGTCATGAGTGGGAGTGACTAGTCAGGCTGTCTGGGATGGGAAAATGTGAGAAAATGTGAGAGGGAAACGTGTAAATTGATTGTGGATAAACCTCGAAACGGGTCGGGCCTTTTCTGTAGAGGCCTGATTGTAGTTGTTTCAATTTTCAAATGTATGCCTGAACCCATTAAATCGTTAATTGAGCCTTTATATTTAAAAAAAATAGTAATTGAATAATAAATAATCATAAATGATTTTAAAATACAATTTCATGATTGTAAATCTTCTTTTTGTGTAGAAATGATTAAAATACATTTGATACTATTATTATTATTATTTACAAATTTTTGTGACAGGTAACTCTTAAAATAGTAAATGGAAAACAAATTTACAAATTTTCTTTCACTTCTTTATTATAAATAACTCTTTATATGACTCAAATTTTTTATTATAAAAAATTTATCTATAAAAAACAAGAGTCTAATAGACTTTTTATTCTCTAAATATAAATTAAAGAGTAAGTTTGACTCTCCACGTCTAAAGAATCGAATTTCACTTTCTATTTTAATTTTAATTAATAAACTACAAGTTTCTATGGGTGCGTTTGGCTTATTGTTTTTATCTATATTCTCAATTCTATTCTTCAAATGTTGTTTGGCATGTTATTCCCAAAATATTAGTCTATTTTTTTAATTACTTTTAGACCACATAAACTTATTAATTTCATTAAATACCCCTCAGAAAAAAAGTTTAAAAACTAACAAAAACACCCTTATCCACCAATACTTGTCAGATTTCGACAACCACCACCGGTGGTTGCCAGAATCTGTCATAACAGTCACATGACCACCAGAAATGGCTGGTAATGGCCAGATCTGATCGTCAGCGACTGCCAAAGAAATGGTCGTCGTTGACTGTCAACGACGACCAAATCTTGGCCATCGTTGACAGACAACGATGACCATATCTTTGGCCATCAGATGACCTTTTCCGACCGTCCGGCCTTTTTCGGCCAGATCCGTGGTGGATATGACCGAAAAAAGCCATATCGATCGAATACCCGCCAGATTCGACCGATATGTGTGATTGTCCAATTTTCCGGCCAGATTCCGGTGGTGGTGGCCGGAATCTGGCACTGCGGGTGGTAGAGGTGTTTTTGTCATTTTACAATATTTTAATATATTGGGGTGTTTATTAAATTAGCAAACCTTGGGGGCTTTTTCATACATTTTTAAATTTTATCTCGTAATATTCCCTATGCAACTATCCAATATTATCCCCAAAATCCTACCAAAAATAATAAACCAAACGCACCCTATGTTTTTTATTTATTAATTATCTCTCTTATTAAGTCTCTTTATTGAAAATAAAGAGTGTCTTTATTAAATTTAAAGAGTTAATTGGATTTGAATAAATATTTTATTCTTTATATTTAAAAATTAATAAAGATGTTATTTATTTATATGAAAGACTTTCTTTAAAATAAAGAACATTATTATAGATGCTCTCACTAGTCATTTGGAGATAATCTTACTCTTTGAAACTTTGAACTAAAATTTATCTCTTAAATATTATTTACTTATTTTATTAATATTATATATTCTTCCAGCTATTTGATATAAGCTCAATTTTTGTATAGTTTTTTTATTTATAAAAATATAATTAATTAATTAATTATAATCGTAAATTTATGTTAAAAAATTTGTTTTTAAACAAATATTCCCAACACATCTTCGTTTTTCTGTATTTTATAATTATTTAAAAAAAAAAGAAAATGAATCCACAAAAGTCATTAAAAAAATGTGAGGGTTACATGGGTTTTGAATCCAATTTATTTTCTAAAAATGGTGCTATTAGATACATATTATTTGTTTATGCTATTTAGGGTATTAATGTCAGAGTTAATTTTATAATATTTCAGAAAAGGCACATTTGAATTAAAATATTGACAACCGTAAAACTCAACATCTCTTTTTTATTTTACGAAAATAAATTTGAAAAATTAGGCCACATGAAATATGACAACTGACTTGGGTTACTGAGTCCAGTGGACTGGTCTAGTGACGGCGTCGGGTTTGGAAACTCAGCTCCGGCCCATTTTCTTCCCTCTTAAAAGTTTTCTCGGGAAAGAAAACGCAAGAAAAAATTCAAAGAGAAAATCAAATCGTAGTCAAAATCAAATAAATAAAATAAAATAAAAAAACAACACCGAAAACCCTTGAAAAAAAAAGAAACTTTCGCCATCCCGCGCAATATTGCTCTGCAATTGAAACCCTCACTGTCTTAGGAATCTCAAATCATCACTTCTCGAATCCTGAAGATTAGAAATTACCCTAGAATTACGATCCTCTCAACGGAACCCAACTGTCGATGGAGGAAGATAAGCCTGGCGGCGGCGGCGACGGAGTTGCCGGTGGCGAATCGTCGTCGAAGCCGACATCTTCATTCCTTAAATCAGGTGACCGGCAAGTGTTCGCGGTGGAGCTCCGACCCGGAGAGACCACGTATGTTTCTTGGAAGAAGCTCGTGAAAGACGCTAACAAAGCCAATAATATTGGATCTTCTAAATCAGTACCCGACCCGCAACCTGTACCTCGCCCCAACCTCGAGTCTCGCATAGCCCCTGTAAGTCCTTTAGGTATAATTAATTATATTGTTTATGCGTATGGTTAATTTATTACAGTTTACGTGAATTTAACAAATGTGGTGTTTGAAGATTCTATGATGTGTTCATCCCCAGAGAATGTACTATGATTTTTTAGGTTGTTATAGCACTGGGCATGGAATCGAGTGTTATTCTTTTGAGTTTGGGTGAATTTTACATTAGCAGTGTGGCATTGACTATTTACGAATACACTGAATTCAATTTGGTGTTATTGCAAAGTTATCAAAAGGAAAACAGAAGCAGGATTGATAATTTGTTTATTGGACAGTTATATTGGTCGGGCGAATAGTTGGGGTTGGGGATTCTGGGTAAAGCATGTATTTTTCTGCTTGTGATTTTGTGGTGTATGCTAAAGATAGATGAGATGAGAATTTGATTGTTCATGTGTAATGTTTTTATATAGAGTTTCTTTGTGTTGTTGTGGTATGAATGAAATTATTAGTTCTGGATGAATGCATATAGGGACAAGCAGAGGAGGACAAAGGGAAAGATGAGCCTGCTCCAAATCGTTTCAGTGCTGTTATTGAGAAGATTGAACGTCTTTACATGGTATGTTACATTGCAGTTGACAATTTACAATTGCATTATTGGTTTGACTCTCTATTAGCAACATTGTGTTTATGGATTATTGAGCTTAACATACAAACTTTTCATGGGGAATTACATATGCTAATTTAACTAGAATACTTCTCAGGGTAACGATAGTAGTGACGAAGAACTAAATGATACTCCTGATGATGATCAATATGATACAGAAGACTCTTTCATTGATGATGCTGAGCTGGTTGGTATCTTTATCTGTTGTGTTTTTGAAGTTCATGTTTATATTTTTTCTGCTGAGATTGATAGTATTCTTTTATGTGAAGCTTTTTCAGTCTGTATGATGTTCCCTCTACTTGTTATACAGGATGAATATTTTGAGGTTGATAAGTCAGCAATAAAACATGATGGGTTCTTTGTTAACAGGGGAAAGTTGGAGCGTGTGTGAGTTTCTCGTTGACCCTGATTCTAGTACATCTGTGGATTCAAGTCACTTTAGTTGACTGTATAATAATTTTTCTCTGTTTCTTTCTGTCTTTTATTATTATTATTATTTTTTAATAAGGCTTGAAAAATATTCCTAGATAGAAAAAGTATGTGGCCTTTGGTTTACCGTAAATTCAGGTTATATTTTTTAACAGTACAAGCTTGGCCAATTTCATGTTCTTTCCTTTTTAGTGTGAGCAGAAGTTCTTTAAGAGGTTAAAAGTGAAATCTCTTCCATTGTCAGAATTAGCTCACTTTCTTTCCGATATTGCAAATGTGAAAAAGTAGTCAAATACTAGTGGAGTAATACTACTTGATAAAATAGAGAGGGAATAGGCCATGTTCAGTAGAGGTGTATTCTATAACGTGCACAATATTTTGTGACAAGGCAAAGGAATCTTGAGGACTTAGAAAAGCCCTATAGCATCCTTACCTTAAAAGCTTGGTTACTATAAAGTTCAACATTACAATTTGTACATTCGAAACTATTTTTATTTATTTACTGGGATGTTGAGAATTTATACTTCTAAAGCATCCTTAAGGCTTGAAAATCATAGAACAGTTTAAAAGCTTCTATACCTAAAAAACAATGATTTGATGAATATGGTGAAGAAATACTGGGCAACTAATTGTAGATATTTCACCTTTGAGGATAACAACTATAAAAGGAGTTTGAGGCTTGCTTTATGGGTTAATTTGTGATCAGCAAGAAAAATATTTGGTTTGGGGTTTGGAGTAGGGTATAAGGAGGAAACGTGTATGCCCTAGGTTTCTTCTTAAAAATCAAGTTTATCAGCTGTAACGTTACTCGAGATAAGTGACTTATGACTTTTGGGGAATTTTCAGTGGAGGCAACTGTTAGGGTTTTGAGGTTACCTGTTTTAAGGGTTAATAGTGTCAATGGTGTGATTACTTTGCTTTTGTAGTCTTTCACCCTGAGCCTCAAAGTTGAGTGTTTTGTATCTATTTTATATTGAAGACAAGTTACACAAACATATGTGAATCTAATTGAAAAGTTAATATTTTACTTGATTGATTTGTTTTATTTCCTTTCTCCAGCACTGAACCTGCTGTAATACCCAACCAGCAACCGAAGAAAAGGCGACGAAAAGATTTGGCAAAGGGTCTGGGTGAGAGTGATGATAGTCGTGTGTCAAATAAACATGCAAAAGTGAATAAAGCAGCCACTGGGAAGTCGGCACCATTGGTTGGGAAAAATTTTCCTAATCAAAATTTGGCTGTGGCAAGTGAAAACTTTGGGGATGTCAAAGGCCAGAATCAATTGAATGTTTCTGTAGTTCCTTCCAAAAAGAAAAGTGCTGATACTAAAATGACCTTGGATCCTTCATCTCTGAAAATTTCTAATGGCGGTGCTTCAGTTTCCCTGGCAGAAGCAAAAGATACTGAAAAGCTGAAGACAGGAGTTATTCCGGCAAAGAATGTTAGTAGCAAATTAAAAGATGTCACTGGACCTTCTGATGCTTCACATCTGAAATACCATGATCATAGTGCTCATTCACAATCAAAATCCCTATCTGGAAAATTATTTCGTAATGTTGATGAGCTGGAACCATCTGTTCGGCAAAGAGAAAAAAATGGCATTCATGAATTGTCAACATTTAACGTTTCAGAGGGCAAGAATCAAACAACAGTAAGTACCTTTTTTGCTATTTTCTATTTCTTTCTTCTCTTTTGTCTTTCACTTTTATAGATTCATAATGCACTAGCCATGGTTTCTGGATAAAAAAAACGGTGCTGTTTCAATGGTCAGTGCCAGACATACAACTATTTGGAATTTGGATAGTATGACTTTGCTATTTTAGTCACTTTTATATTCAACCAACACGACAAAAGCACTCACATAAATATTAATGAAAGCTTTCTCCCTGAATGAACATTGGTACTTTCTTGTTAGTTACAGATATTTGAAATAATTTAGGCATTTCTAGTTGAAAGTGTGCGGTTGATCTAATCATATAAAGCTGTCACTTACGGTTAAGAAAGTCATCCTTGAATCCATAAATTCTAAAACAATGCTTTTATTTGATAATTTTCTGGAAGACTGTGCATCTAGCTTTATGCAAAATAAAAGATGGCACCTGTCAAATTATAAAATTTCTTGCTATTTTTTTTTTTTCTGTGCTACTAAATGTAACAGAATTTTATTTTTCTTACCACATAATTCATTATTCACACGTTGATTTTTTATTTTATTTTTTGTTTTTTTGGTTTCTTATTTATTTATTTATTTTATCTAATATCATGCAGAAAATTTCTCACATTCACAAAAAGGATGGTTCTATTGCAAGGCCCAAAAGTTCAATGCTTGAAAGGGCCATCAGGGACTTAGAGAAGATGGTTGCAGAATGTAAGTTGTGTTATTCTTGTTAACTATGTCATAGATGATTATTCAGGGAAGTTCCTCAAATAAAAATTGGAAATTGTTCCTTGTGTAAATGTTACAGCAAGGCCGCCTACTATGGAAAACCAAGAAGCTGATACTTCATCCCAAGCAATTAAAAGAAGATTGCCTAGAGAAATAAAGCTAAAGCTTGCCAAAGTTGCTAGACTAGCGGTAATGGAGAAATTATTATAAAATTTAGTTATTTTTTTCCTTGATTCTGTGTTCCACAAAAAATAGTATTTGTCCTGCTTCAATTCTTATTTTCTTTTGTTTTTTCAAACTTGGTGTCTCTAACGTAATATAAGTATGTTGTTTTAAAAATTTGCAGCAGGCAAGCCAGGGGAAGGTATCAAAAGAATTAATTAATCGCCTAATGAGTATCCTTGGACACTTAATACAGCTCAGAACACTTAAGGTATCTCAATATAGTGACAAACAATGAAATGACTCTTGTAACTGTTGCACCCTTTTATAATTTCAGTCTCAGCCCTTGTTGATATATCAAAGATATGCCACTAGTTGCCTTTCACCATTGTTTCTTCTGATTACAAATTTACAACTAAAGGTTCTTGCAATTCAATAATTTATTGCCAATTGCATAATACTTGGTTTTAATAATTGTTTCAAATAGGTGCTTTCTTTGCTTCTGTCTGATTTCACTATTGAGTCAAATTGGATTTGTTTCTTAATGTATTATATACTTAACCACTATTCCTGATACGGCACTTTGTTTTTTTTTTCTTCAGAGAAACTTAAAAATCATGATTAATATGGGTTTGTCAGCAAAGCAGGAGAAAGATGATAGGTTTCAACAGATAAAGAAGGAAGTTGTTGAGATGATAAAAGTGCGAATCCCCTCTTTGGAGTCCAAGGTGGGTTTTGGTCTAATTGTTCTGTCGTTGGGCTTTCTGGTCTGTGGTTTTTTGGTGTTATGTTTTATTTGCTGGTTAAAGTTGAACTTGGAATTTATGATAAATAGAACCATATTGCTTCTCTCTTTTCTTGCTTGACCTTGCTTTCTCATTATTTTGGGCTCTTTCTTCTGTTAAACTCAAGGCCACTCGTTGCTCACTAAATTTAGTTTTATTTTTTTATTTTTTATTTGAATTTTTTTCAATATTTATTGCAGTACTTAATTGTTGTTCTGTTTTGCCGACTGTGCAGTTTGATAAGTTCAAATCCTTCCTGCATTAACATGAAATGCATAATTGTTTTTCAGGCATTTGAGCATCAAGCTGGAGCTTCAGATGATTTTCAAGAAATTGGCGAAGAGAAAGGAGTTATTAAAAGAAAATATAGCATGGATACAGACATGGAGGACAAGATTTGTGATCTCTATGACCTTTATGTTGATGTACAGCATGCTTTTCTTGAAAATTATTATATCTTGATTTTCTTGAAAAATTATTCCTTCTGGTTGAGAATTTTGTTTTTCTTTTTTAGAATAAACGTGGTATTTATTTTTTAAATGTATAGGGACTGGATGAAGATGCAGGTCCACAAATTAGAAAGCTCTATGTTGAGGTTGTTCACTTCTCCTTATTGTTTCTGTTCTAATATATTATTTTGGTAACCAATTTGCTGCTTCTTGTATATTCAGTTGAAATAAAAAATAAAAAAATCTTGCATACATATCAGTGAAACTACCTACATCATCATCTTTAGTTCCTTTTTCTACGTTTTTTCTAATGTCTCTCTTATTCACATCATTGTTCAACGTGTTTTAAAATATGCTAATTACTTATTATAGTATATCTTTTGATTTTAGGACTGTGCAAGTCATTGTTCATTTTCTCTCTTTGGGTTTCTGAACCCCAACTACGATTTTTGTACTGGCTCTTTTATTCACATCATTGTTCAACGTGTTTTAAAATGTGCTAATTTCTTATTATAGTATATCTTTTGATTTTAGTATTGTGCAAGTCATTGTTCATTTTCTCTCTTTGGGTTTCTGAACCCCAACTACCCACCAGCAATCTCCTTTCTATAAGCTTAAACTTCTGGAAGTTTTTTGTTACAGTTATCCAGAGTGGTTGTAGTTCTTATTCTTGAGAGTTTCTTTCTTTGCTTTTATAATCATTTGCTTGAATTTTTCTGTCCTTGAAAGCGTGCAGTGTTGTACCAAGTTTATTTATTTATGATTATTATTTATTTTTTGCTTCATTTTTGTCTTGAGTTGATTTATTTACAGTTCAATAATTGTTGTTACTGGTCAATTGGTCTTCAATTTGTTCATGTATTTTGACAATATTTATACCTTTCTGTGACGCAGCTTTCACATTTGTGGCCAAATGGTTTTATGGACAACCATGGGATTAAGCGTGCAATTTGTAGAGCAAAGGAGAGAAGAAGGGAACAATACAACAGACATAAGGTATGTAAATTCCCCTTACCCGCTTTCCATCCTTAATATGCATTCAGTAATACAAACTACCTTTTTTTTAAAGTTGGAGGTGCTTCTATTGCCAGCAGAATGTAATTTTTCTTGCATCAGTTGCATCTAATTTGGGCTTTTGGCTTGATAATAGCCTGAAACAAATAGACATGCTTGAGTTTGACTAGTTGCAATATGACTTGACTTGCAAACCTGGCTTCTTTGATATAAATCTAAGACTTAAGCTCAGGGTTGTGGTTCTATGCGTGTTGGGAGAAGGAATTGATGGGAAAGATGCACGCACAATAATTTCTTTTCTTCATATGATGCAAGTGATGTGGCATTTTTTCTGTGTATCAAATTATAAAAGGTTGTCATATATGTAATAAAAGGTTCTGTCATATATGTAAAGGTGAAAGGGAATGGTGTTCTCCCTTGGACAAAGATCAATAGTTGGGTTTAGAATTTAGTCAAATGGAATTGGGATGATAGGTTCTGTTGTTAAGTTGACCTCAATGTTATGGAGATATGATATTTATGGATTTCTCTCTATTAAGTTGTGTGTACCAGCGTTAATAGCATGGTATACCAGTTCTTTATAGGGGCAGAGATTTTTGCTTCCTTTCTTAAAGCTCTTGTACACGTGGTTGCTTTTAGGTGCCATGCATAATTTCTTTTCCTTGGGGTTGCTTTCTATATATTGATGTCTGATTCTTGTCTTAATCTGCTAATTTCTTTCAAGGATCAGGAGAAAATTAAGAGGAAAAAAATGTTGACACCTAAAACAGAGGATAGCGTTCAAATTGAGACCGATGCAAATGCGCAGCCACAATATACACGAGAGAGATTGGGCTCTGATTCAGGTAGTCATAGTCTAGCAACAGCTAGCAAACCAGTTTCTAATACAACAGCAGCTTCCATGAGGACATCCAGTCCCTCAGCCAATGGGGACAGGTTAAAACAAGATAAATTGAAGGGAAGTTCAAGCAATTCAATGGATGAAGCAAAGATGGCTGTGGACGGTGTGATGACGAAGAAAAAAGTGAAGAGGAAGCCAGAACAGGATTTGGATGGGGCTCCATTGCACCCAGAGAAATTACCTGCCCAACTGAGCGATGAAAGACACAAGTCGCAAAAGCTGTGTGCAGGTCTTCCCCAGAAATCAAACCTTCAGTCTACTGCTCCAAATTTCGAACAGTCAAGCTGACATAGTTTAGGAAATTCACACCACAAAAGTGTTTGTGTAACAGTCTTTTCTTTCTTTCTCGATCCTTATCATTCATTCTGACCAACCATTGTTACCATATCAGTTACCATTTTGTAATTAAATGATGTCGCATGCCACCATCTTCATTAGAGTTAAAGCGTAATAGGAGAAATTAGAAAGCTTTAGTTTTGTGTACCATCACTATGGCTTGAAATCAAAACCGTAGTTTTATTATTTTTCCAGCCTTTTAAGGTCAACTAATGTGGCGCTTAATCCTGAATCCTCAAACTTTGCTCAAGCAAAAGGGTTGCCTGAGTTGTTTCTGAAATAACTTCATCCAAAAAATTCATTAGAATCATAGACGGTAAAACTATAATTACAAATACATTATTTTTTAAGACTATTTTGATATTAAGAATAAAAAATCCTAAATAATTGTTCAAATTCGTTTCTCGGTACATTGTAAAAAGGGTGAAAAAGAACAGAGGTTATGAGCAGGCTCTTTTCCTTTCAGTAAGGCCTCGTAATATAGCTTCCGTGCCTCCAGACCAAGCTCCTGACACTGAGAATAATGTTTCTGAACTTAACCTTGAAAGTAAAGCAAACGATATGTCGTTCGTGAGATAGCTATTTGAATTTGACATCAATGTCCTAACATCGAACGGCAGTATTGATAAACTCCATCGCAAGGTGATGTACCTCAGCTACATACAATTACTACCCTTCCCGCCTTTTATTTACCCACTCAATTTCCCCCTTTCAAAAACCTAACTCAGTCTCAGACATTCTTATTCTTATTCTTCTTTCAAATTATGCACTCAAAACAGATATTCGAATCCATCAATGTGTAATCCCTTACTATTATAGCAAATAATTTAATACTAGTACAATTGATTGTGAAGATGCTGAAACCAAAGCCATTCAAGGGAGCGAGTGTGTTCATGTCACGCAACCTGGTGGCGCCGGAGATCTTCGACGCGCTTCTCGACGCTCTCAAGCTCAACGGAGCTGAGGTCTTTCTGTGCAGCGACCCGTCTCGTACCGGCCCCAACGATTTCCACGTCATCTCCTCTTCCGATCACGTAACCAACTTCCACCATTTCCACTTCACTGTCCCTTTTATTGAAGTTTAATATTAACTTTTAATTGGTCTTGGCAGGAGAAATTTGAAGATCTTAGAGCCAAGGGATGTAATTTGTTAGGTACGCGCAATGAGTTTAGTTATTAGTGTTTAATAGTTTTGTAGTTTTGTAATTTTGTATTAGAAGTTGATTTCTTGATAAGTTGTTTGCAATGTATTGAGAGGGGAATAGAAGGCTCTTGATTAAAAGAGGAATTCAAAATTTTGTTCCATATTTTTATACTGAAGAGTTAGCCTCTTCTTAAAAATAATTTGATTACAGGTTGTTTTTGAGGAGCATTCTTGTGTGCTCATTTGCATGAAATTTATTGGGCATTTTACTATTTATCTTTTGGCTGTTGAAGGTGGTTGTTGAATCTGATACACATGTGCATTGTTGGCATGGCAGGTCCTCAATGTGTGCTTTCTTGTGCGAAAGAAAATAGATCGCTTCCAAAACAAGGTTTCACTTGTTGTCTTGCTATGGATGGTGTCAAAGTACTTGCCTCTGGTTTTGATATGGATGAAAAGGTATGCTTTTTTGCTACATCTACCTGCGATAATTTTGGTCTGATGGTATAGTCATTTTTACTCCTCTTTGTTTACTGTAACAAGTATTTTAGCTTCATTATGATTGCTTTGATGAGAATTTATACATTTGAATAGTGATTTTTGATGTGCTGATTTTGGAAAGGGTACAGTGTCTACTGTCAGAAATTGGATTGCAGTTCTTGTAAGGTCACATGGTAAATTATGGTTTGAAGAGGTAGACAGTTTTTGAAGATGTGTGCTGTCTTGTTTGGGTGCTATAAATTATTACATTTTTTGTTGTGATTGTTGAAGATTGCTTAGTGTTTTTCTTTTGCCTTTCCTTCTGGTCTCCTCCAGATTGCCTGTCTACTTGCACTTGCTTGGCCAAAAAAAGAGAAAAATAATTACCTGCTATACACATTATTCTTCTTAAAATGATAATTAGCTTGAATGGTTCACATAGGAGTTTTATTGTCTATCCTGGTTGCTAAGCATTTTACAACACTATTTCTATATTTTGTGCTTTGTATTTTTTGAACTCTGTTGTCTGCATCACTTCTTCTCTTTTACTGCTGTAGCTTTCTAAGCTGCATTCTGTAAATATATATGATTTTTCAAGTGCTTGTCAATTGTTGCAGGTTAAGATAGAAAAGTTGGTCACAGCAATGGGGGGAGTACTGCAGACTAAAGCATCATTGGATGTTAACTTTGTTATTGTAAAGAATGTTTTGGCTGCAAAGTACAAGGTCTGGTACCTAAAGACTGGTCTATTCAGTTCAAACTTTAAAAACTGTATTCTTGTAAATGAGCCATGACTCTATCTATCTCCTGTTTAACTGTAACTAATACTTTAGATTGAAGCTATTACTAAGAGTATTCAGGGATGTTATATTGTTTGATAAGATACAATCTCTCTTCTTTTTAATAATCTTCCCTGTGTGCAGTGGGCTTTAAATACTCTGAAGAAACCAATTGTTACCATCAATTGGTTATCTCAATGCTGGAATGAGCACCGTGTTGTTCCTCAGGAGTCGTACAGGGTTCTTCCTTTTTCTGGTTTGATGATATGTGTCACCAGAATTCCTGCAGGTTACTGCATTAGGTTTTTTGTTGCTCTTGCTTATTATAAACCATTTTTTTGTTTTGTTTTGTTTTTAGCCAATATGATAAGCTTCTTCTTCTTCTTCTTCTTTTTTTAAGTGTGTGTTGAATGCTAACTGCATATTATTTCAGATAAGCGAAAGGAGATTGAGAAGCTTATCATACAAAATGGGGGGAAATATTCTCCTGAGCTGACCAAGAAATGCACACACTTAATTTGTNTTCGAATCCATCAATGTGTAATCCCTTAGTATTATAGCAAATAATTAATTAATACTAGTACAATTGATTGTGAAGATGCTGAAACCAAAGCCATTCAAGGGAGCGAGTGTGTTCATGTCACGCAACCTGGTGGCGCCGGAGATCTTCGACGCGCTTCTCGACGCTCTCAAGCTCAACGGAGCTGAGGTCTTTCTGTGCAGCGACCCGTCTCGTACCGGCCCCAACGATTTCCACGTCATCTCCTCTTCCGATCACGTAACCAACTTCCACCATTTCCACTTCACTGTCCCTTTTATTGAAGTTTAATATTAACTTTTAATTGGTCTTGGCAGGAGAAATTTGAAGATCTTAGAGCCAAGGGATGTAATTTGTTAGGTACGCGCAATGAGTTTAGTTATTAGTGTTTAATAGTTTTGTAGTTTTGTAATTTTGTATTAGAAGTTGATTTCTTGATAAGTTGTTTGCAATGTATTGAGAGGGGAATAGAAGGCTCTTGATTAAAAGAGGAATTCAAAATTTTGTTCCATATTTTTATACTGAAGAGTTAGCCTCTTCTTAAAAATAATTTGATTACAGGTTGTTTTTGAGGAGCATTCTTGTGTGCTCATTTGCATGAAATTTATTGGGCATTTTACTATTTATCTTTTGGCTGTTGAAGGTGGTTGTTGAATCTGATACACATGTGCATTGTTGGCATGGCAGGTCCTCAATGTGTGCTTTCTTGTGCGAAAGAAAATAGATCGTTTCCAAAACAAGGTTTCACTTGTTGTCTTGCTATGGATGGTGTCAAAGTACTTGCCTCTGGTTTTGATATGGATGAAAAGGTATGCTTTTTTGCTACATCTACCTGCGATAATTTTGGTCTGATGGTATAGTCATTTTTACTCCTCTTTGTTTACTGTAACAAGTATTTTAGCTTCATTATGATTGCTTTGATGAGAATTTATACATTTGAATAGTGATTTTTGATGTGCTGATTTTGGAAAGGGTACAGTGTCTACTGTCAGAAATTGGATTGCAGTTCTTGTAAGGTCACATGGTAAATTATGGTTTGAAGAGGTAGACAGTTTTTGAAGATGTGTGCTGTCTTGTTTGGGTGCTATAAATTATTACATTTTTTGTTGTGATTGTTGAAGATTGCTTAGTGTTTTTCTTTTGCCTTTCCTTCTGGTCTCCTCCAGATTGCCTGTCTACTTGCACTTGCTTGGCCAAAAAAAGAGAAAAATAATTACCTGCTATACACATTATTCTTCTTAAAATGATAATTAGCTTGAATGGTTCACATAGGAGTTTTATTGTCTATCCTGGTTGCTAAGCATTTTACAACACTATTTCTATATTTTGTGCTTTGCATTTTTTGAACTCTGTTGTCTGCATCACTTCTTCTCTTTTACTGCTGTAGCTTTCTAAGCTGCATTCTGTAAATATATATGATTTTTCAAGTGCTTGTCAATTGTTGCAGGTTAAGGTAGAAAAGTTGGTCACAGCAATGGGGGGAGTACTGCAGACTAAAGCATCATTGGATGTTAACTTTGTTATTGTAAAGAATGTTTTGGCTGCAAAGTACAAGGTCTGGTACCTAAAGACTGGTCTATTCAGTTCAAACTTTATAAACTGTATTCTTGTAAATGAGCCATGACTCTATCTATCTCCTGTTTAACTGTAACTAATACTTTAGATTGAAGCTATTACTAAGAGTATTCAGGGATGTTATATTGTTTGATAAGATACAATCTCTCTTCTTTTTAATAATCTTCCCTGTGTGCAGTGGGCTTTAAATACTCTGAAGAAACCAATTGTTACCATCAATTGGTTATCTCAATGCTGGAATGAGCACCGTGTTGTTCCTCAGGAGTCGTACAGGGTTCTTCCTTTTTCTGGTTTGATGATATGTGTCACCAGAATTCCTGCAGGTTATTGCATTAGGTTTTTTGTTGCTCTTGCTTATTATAAACCATTTTTTTGTTTTGTTTTGTTTTTAGCCAATATGATAAGCTTCTTCTTCTTCTTCTTCTTTTTTTAAGTGTGTGTTGAATGCTAACTGCATATTATTTCAGATAAGCGAAAGGAGATTGAGAAGCTTATCATACAAAATGGGGGGAAATATTCTCCTGAGCTGACCAAGAAATGCACACACTTAATTTGTGATATATCCTTTTTGTTATTCTTTTGGAGGAAAATATTGTCTGGAAACTTGCACATTTTCATTCTTGTCTTGCTTTTTCATTTGCAAATGTGCCAAGCATGGAAGCTTTACTGCATCTACTTTGTGGACTAGAATCTGCCTTTCAATCAGAAAGTTTCTATGCATCCAAGTGTGTTAATTTTCTGAACCGAGGAAAATATCAAGAAAATTTCCCATTTCCCATTTCCCATTTCCCATTTCCCTTTTCTTAAAGTTCTGTGAAATTATTTTATAGGGAATATGAATATTTCTTGGATTCTCTCCATATCAGTTTAGGGTAAGTGTTTCATTGCTATAGGAGTGAGTCTCTTTACAAGGTTGATTCAAGTACTTCTGCCACTGGTTGAATTCAGAAATTTAGTATTATTAACTTCATTAACATTTTGTGATGTGTAGAGTCACTAGGCTCATTATATGCCTTGCTTTTTATGCCTTCATGTGACTTTTTATTCATTGCAACTTTAATAAGCACCATTTTGTTGTTCATCCAAAAGCTATTTTTTTCTTGACGTTCCATACGCTCCAGAAGGTGACAAATATAAAGTTGCCCAAAGATGGGGCCATATTCATATTGTAAACAGGAAATGGTTTGATCAATCTGTTGCAAGAAGAGGTAAGGCTTTATGTTCTCATATGCTCTAAATTCTGGCACTCTTTGATGTTGTAGCATATTTACCGTGTCCTACATTTTATCTAACCTTGAATTTATCTCTTTTGGTGAATAGCATGTCTTAATGAGGAGTCCTATACTGTTCAGGGTGGTTCTGTATCTTCCAAGAAAAGTGTAAAGAGTTGCTTCACTGGGCAGTGTAAAGAGGATAAGGTTATTGGGAATTCACTACCTTCACTATCATCTGTGGCTACAGATTCAAATTTTTTTTCTGTTCCCTGCACTCGGTTTGAAGATCAAGATCTAGAAGCCACTCTCTCACAGCATACATCTTCTATTTTTGGTGATGCTTCTATTTCTAAAGAGGTAGAGAGTAAGGCCCCAACAGCACAGACCAAAACTGAATCAAACCCTGATAACTGTGTTGCCAATGACTCTCAGTCTGAAGACAATGACTTATACTTGTCGGAGTGTAGAATATTACTTGTTGGTTTTGAAGCTTGTGAAATGCGCAAACTAGTCAATATGGTGCGTAGAGGTGGGGGCTCTCGTTTTGTGTCAGGCAATAACAGGTTGACACACGTAATAGTTGGATCTCTGTCAGAGGTGTAAGTCTTTTGGCTTATGCAAAAATAATTTACAAGCCTATTTCTCTTTTTTTTTTTTTTTTTTTTTCATTTTATTATAATGCTTTGGGAGTAAGGCTTTTTCATGCTTATGATGTCAGTTTGATGATCCTTTAATTAATTTTGTTTCTCTACTGGGAATGGTATCTTCCATTACGGCATTGCACTTTGTCTCATATCTTTGTTGTATGATTTCCCAGGGAAAAAAGGGAAGTAAGGAGCCTTGCAGCTTTGGGTGTCATTCAGGTGGTTAAGACCTCCTGGCTTGAAGATTGTGACCGTGAAAGGAAAGAAATTCCTGTACTTCAGAAGCATGTTGCCTATCACTTGCTGCTACCTAAAGGTTTGCTAAATATGTTTGTTAATTGTTTTGTGATGATCTTGAAATTCTCCTGCAGGGTGTGTTCAATTGCTTCTATTGATTTTATTAAATTTCATTGGATTGACATATTTGACTAATAAGCTTATGAGTATTACGTGCATATCCTGTTCTCTGAGTGGTCATTCTGCTTATATAGATTCTGTCTGGTCCACCAAAGGAGCACAAATATGCACGAACAATTTAAATCAAGGTCAAGAATCCAGTGTTCTTCAAAGCACACCGCCTGTTGAGATGCTGCAAAGTGTGAATCCTGGAATTGGAATGCCATTGTCATTGGAGGAAACTAGGGCTGAGAGACCAAAAATCAACTTGAAGAGCCAGAGCTCTCTGGATGTACTGGCAGTATCATCAAGACAAAGCCAACTTCCTGCTGTGAAAAATAGAAATAAGAGTCGGCAGAAGATGCAAGAGGATTTCACTGTTCAAAATCTTCAAAATAGGAAGTCGTCAACAGTATTTAGAGGGAAAATATTCTGCTTTTCAAATTCCTTTCCTGAAGATAGGGTAAGATGTCGAAGTGCATATTTTGAGATTGGTATGATTTTTCCCTGCAATCATAGCCTTAGCACAATTTCTTGATTTAGAAATCAGAGATATGCCTCTAATCCTAGAGAACAATGTCAAATGAACATCTATAGACAATAACATACTTAACAATTTCAACAGAAAATTCATGAATGGTGAGTTGGAGAAAATCTCTAAGCTGAAATGTTGAGACTTCTGGAAACAACAGGACTGGGTGCATGCTGAGCTGAGAACCCATATTAAGTGGAATTTTCTTTTTCAAATACTGTTTGTCAGCTAATTAGGTTTGAATTGTGATGTTGAACTTCAAACTAGAAATCAATATGACTAGAACGAAATGCGTACACATAAGCACATGCACACTCATATATACAAACGAATTGTATATAACATGTGTTTCCAAGTTGTAATTGCTTAACTATATCAATAGTATTGCTTTTGTCAGTATATTATTGATTTTGGAAAGTTCTATATCATCACCTTCCGTTTTTGCTTTTGTCTTAGAATCCAGTTTTCTCAGTGTTTAAAATAACTCTTTTTAGATAATTCCAAATATAATATGTCCATTTTTTCCTGACAGAGGGCTGAAATTGTTCAATGGGTGAATCAAGGGGGAGGTGAGGTGGTGAATGATCTCATAAAACAGAATGTGCATTTTACGATTGAGTGTCATGGTGGGGTAACCGCATGCGTAGATGCTCCCCACACTACTTATGTATCCAGTCACTGGATCCATTCTTGTTTAGAGGTGTGTATACTTCAACTTCCCTTCCTCTTATAATATAATTTTGACCACCACCATCTCTGTTAAAGTATCCTTGTCAATTGTTATACTACTACACTATTGCTTTTTTTTCTTCTTAATTTTTTTAGTCTTCATCTTGATTACCCCTTAAATTAGCAGACTGAAATTGTTGGTTTGAGTTGAATTATCGTGTTTTTTAGATGTATGACTATCTTATGGACTTATGTTGATGGGAACATTGTTATTGAAGGATGGATGCTTGCTGGATGTTGGTAGTCACATTCTTTATTCCCCACTTTCCTGTCAGATTCCTTTGCCCGGGTTTGAAAAATTTCGCTTTTGTGTTTCACAGTACGAGGATAAAGATAGAATGCTATTAAGAAATTTGTGCTTCGTTCTTGGAGCTAAGTTCGTCGAAAAATTAACTAAAAAGGTCACCCATTTATTATGCAAGTTTATCAGTGGACCTAAGTATGAAGCTGCTTGTAAATGGGGGATACCGTCAGTTACTTGTGATTGGATTTATGAATGTGTCAGGCAGGTATATTTCTGATTTTCTTTCTTCTGATATGTATGTTTCCATGAACATCCTTATTGTCTATGGACATGTTTTTTTGGCTATTATGTTGAACTCAACAATGTACACTGTTTGGCAGAAGGGAGTTGTTTCTCTGGATCCATTTTATCCAAGAGAAGTTACTGCTCATGACCGAGAGGCAGGATTGTGCACTGTGAGCCAGTTTCCTACACAAGCTGTTCGAATGTTCTCTACTGATGAACTATCGCAGCTTACAAGTTCATCCCAGGACCCGAGAGCCATGTCATCAGAAATAATTGGTAGTAAAAATGACAGTAATGTTGGTAATAGAAATGACGGCCTTAGGGATTTGTCTAAACAATCGAACGTTTACAGTAAAAGGGCTAGAATTTCAGAAGATGAGGGCCATGAAGGTCTTCTAGCACATTTCAGTGACCCTGTCTCTACTAAGAGTTCTAGTCTAGACAACTTATTGAAAGATGACAGGGAAGTTTCTCATGTTGTTCCTGATGTAGCTGCTGTGATTGAGGACATCTTGGAGCAGACTAGTAAGGTAAACACTGATGTTTCCTTTTGTTAATTTCTGTCTGAATTTAGGTTATTGGTTGACTCATTTTATATCTGCTTTGGTGTCAAGATTCAAGATCTAAATTCACCAGAGACGACTGGACACAATAAAAGTGTATCCTACATTCTGATTGCTCTTCTTTTTTTTTTTTTTGTTATTCATATACTGTTGATTTTTGCACCAGTTTTCATCCTTTACATACGAACAGCTTTTTTCATCTGATTGTTCAGTCCTTGGTCAAAACCATACAGATTCACACTCTGTCATTGGGTTATCTAGACAGTGGTTAAACAGGTAATAGTTTATATGTTTAATTAACTCCTCCTCATCATCTTTATAATTTTTTGCAGTTCTTTTCATCTTCATGTGCTATCTTTATATATATTCATATTTGTAGATGGTTCTGCAAACGTAACATTCTCCATTATTTAAGAAACAGAGAGACTTCACATGCCGAGTATCGCAGGCTTGTGCAGTTTATCTAATCTTCTTTGGTTACATATGTATTATTTATGATCATTTCAGGACTGCGAAGAAAGAGGATGCTTGCAATCCTTCTGGAGATGTACATGTGGGCACATATGATGGCTTTAGTGAAACACAAACAGATTCTCAGGTTTCAGCTCTAACTCTGAAACTTAATTGTTTACTTGCATTATGATATGTCAAGTGGCTTTTGATGGCCCTTCAACATTTCAATAATTACTATAGAGAAGTGCTAGTCTTACAAAGACAAATACAATAGGGGCATACAAAGACAATCCCTACCCTTGATCTTCATGATTTCTCTCTCTCTCTCTCTTTCTCTTTTTCCGTTTTTTCTTTGTTTTTTCTTTCATTTTGTAACCTTCTTTGTATAAGTCTTTGTAAGGAAAGCATTTTTCATTACTATATTAGATGAAACATACGAATTTGGTGCTTTTTGGTGCATTGAAAACTTCTCAAGCTAAAACCGATTTCATTTACATCAATGTTTTGATGCGAAAATGCTGTTCATCACTGTTGCAAATGCAGGTTGTTGGTTATGAAGAAGATTTGTCAGGGATGCAGATGCTCATAGACAAAGTTCGAACCCGAAGTAGCATGACTTGAACCGCTAGGTTAGAGGAAAATTTTCAGATTGCTGCTAACTAACATGTACGTTAAAGGCTGGATGATAAATTAGTTGCTCAACAGTCGAAGCTTATAAACTTGTGTATCAATTGAAGCTCTTACTCGTGCAAATACATGTCTTGTGGGTTAAGAGAAGAATACTCGCATTGTGCAAATACCAACCTGTGTGTTGTGTAAATCATTTATGTGATCTACACAGCTTGTGATGCCATGAGCTGCAAAATCCGTTTCCTGTATATGTCTAATAGAAATTATCTGGTTTTGCGCTGTAATTAACAATTTCTGTGAATTTCATTAAATTTTTGTTTTTTTTTAATTCCTAGTGGATAGGATTATTCTGTACCATCATAAACTTTATTAAAAGGAAGATGAATAAAACTTAAACATATAGTGAGCGTGAGGCCCGTTATAAATAGAAATGTGGCTACGGGGATAATTCGATGCCGTTTCATTGTGGCGGGTTTTATTCTTAGACCTATAAATGAATGGAACAGTTTGTGAACAATTTGATATTCGTTTAATAACTGTTCGATACTGTTTATGAACAGTTTGATGTTCGTTCAATAATATGTTCGATCAAATTCGAACACGGGCTGTTTGTTTCTATTATGTTCGTGAACATTATATGTTCGACTGATCTATCCGTTCGCGAATAATCTGTTCGATTGTTCATTCGTTTATCTTTGAAAAACATGATATGTATTATTATAATTTGTATATATATATATATTTTTTATATTATGTTTGGTTTAGTTTAGATTAATTTTTTTTTAATGGTAATCAATAATAAAATATTATGATGTTTTTGTTTTTCTTATATATATAATATGTTTGGATTTTTTTTCTTTTCCAAATGTCATTAATAATTAAATATATAAGTATATAACATTTTAATTAAAAAGTAATAAATTATTATGATACATAACATGATAAATTTAATAACATAATAAATTGTATAATCAAGTGATATATAATATAATAAATCCAATAACATAATAGCTTCGTATTTTTTCAAATGTAATCAATAATTAAATATTATAAGATAACATTTTAATTAATAAATAATAAATATAGTATGATAAATTGATGAACATAACATATTGAATATCAAGTGGTATATAACATAACAAATTTAATAATATAATAGCTTAGTTAAATATAGTATAGTAAATTGATAAACATAATATATTGTATAATTAAGTAATATATAACATGATAAATTTAATAATATAATAATTTAATTAAATATAATATAACAAATTTATGAATATAACATATTGTATAATCAAGTGATATATAACATGACAAATTTAATAACATAATAATTTAATTAAACCTAAATTAATCACACATTTGTATTGATCATATATTACAATAAACGCTCATTCTACTATGAATTTATAGATGTTAATACAAAATATATATGTAAACAATAATGATAATATATATATATATAAAAGCCTATAATTTTGATAATTTAATAACATATTTAACCTATGATTAATATATGTACAATAATAATTTTGTATACACAATTTTTTTCCTTTGTGTATTTTAGATATAGGAGAAATTGGAGATTGATATTCCCATCAATTGAATCAAGTATATTGATATATGATTACTTTTTTAAGCATAGCCATATTTAAAATCAGTCTATTACTACTAATGATTTTCACTTTTTTTTTTCTTTTGTAGGTTCACATTATATACTATATAGTGGTATGTTCACTCCTGTTGGAATCCTTTTGGTTGTGCTGTAATGTCTATGCAAAATGCAAATTCCTTTTATTTGTGTCATGTTTGATATGGAATCAAATTTGTTTTGAATGATTTATTATTCTGTTAAATTTATTTTGAAGTTTTATTATCTATGATGGTTAGTTATTTTAATTTACTGAGTTTTTATTAATTCATTTAAGATATAAATATAGATAGAGAGTTGGTTTATTTTCAAATGTTGAATTAAATGGGTGTGAATTATAAATTATTGTATATTTGTCTTTTAGAGCATGAATTGGAAAGTTGGTGTATATCTTTTATTCGAACAGGTATTCGAACGAGTTATTCGAACATGTATTTACAAGTTATCGAACGAGTTATTCGAACATGTATTTACGAGTTATCGAACGAGTTATTCGAATAGGTATTTACGAGTTAGTTGAACGATCACGAACTGATCGTTTTGTTAATCGAACGAACACGAACAATCATCATGTGTTCTTTCGAGTTCGAACATGAAATTGAACACTCCTTCATGCTTATCGAACAAGTTTCGAACTAGGCTATTCGTTCATATTCGATTCGATTGCAGACCTAGGCGGAAGATAAATTCTAGGTTCTTGATTTGTTGTTGACCAAACAAGCGAATTATCCTCAAGGACCTCGTAATTTCTTTAATTATATATATAAAGTAAATGATTTTTTTCTACTCAAATTATGGTTTAATGACACTTTTTTTTATCAAATAATAACTTAATGATAGTTTCTCCATCAAATAATGATTGAATGACACTTTTCCCTCCAAATTTTTTTAAAATACCATTTTACTAATCAAATTTATATTCTATTTTCGATTTCGACATTATTGCAATTTCATACTATCATCATTCTCTTCCCAAATCATCACTTACTAAAACTTCTCAAACCCTACTCTTGTCGATCTCGTCAATTGTTAATAATCGAGCGATTAGAGTTTGTGCAACCGTCTATCTTAAGCCAAAATTTTATTTAATCATAACCATTAAAATCTAATCTTTTACCACCAAAAGACTTATCGGCCTCCTCTCTTAAAAAAATCCTAATAGTTTGGATCAAGTTTTTTTCTGTTTGTTGTTGGAATATAAATTTGGATAATAGAATGATATTTTAAAAGCCTGTGAGTAGAAAAATGTCATTAGCTATTATTTGGGTGGAAAAAAGTCATTAACCCTTATATATATTAAAAATAATAAATTATTTTTTTAATCTTATATTTTAGTAAAAGATTTCGTAATCACATCTTTTGAGTTGGTTAATGCAAAAGAAACGATTTTCAACAAAAATTTAAATATTAACATAGTCTTGTAATAAGAAAAAGTGAATTTAGTTAATCTTTTTTAATTAATCGAAAAATACTATATTAAGAAGAAACCTAACTGTTGTAGCTGTAGCTAGCTTTCTAGTTGGCGTTGCATAATTAGCATTTAGCACCGCTATATATTTCAATTTTCAATACAAATATGATTCTGCCACTGCCACTTGTCAACCATCAAGGAGTTTCAAAATTTTGATTATCAATTTGATTTTGTCGATTTTTATTTAAAAAATCTGCTTACTTCTCTTACAGGACGGAGGTTTTAAGCGATTCTAATTTTTATCATTTTTTTCTTCGATAAAATTCCTCACATGCATTGAGAAAGATTCCATTGGCTTGAATTATGTTAAATCACATAAATGTAGTGGCCGCAGAATTTACATGTTAAAAAGCGGATAAATCATAAATATATAAACGGGCGTAGGGGTAGGACCCAAAGCTGATTGATCCAGGACTAGAAGCACAAAGCATCACATCAAAAGCACACAACACCAAAATCAAATCAAACACCAGCACAACACAAAACTCAAATGACACCAAAGGAACTGAAAAAACTCTTCAACCACCAATAATACTACTCTGCTTAATCTCAAATCGATCCAATTCGATATTATCCACAACAACTTGTGTTGGCATGTCTCTTCTTGCGCCATGTGGCTCTTAGTAGACATGCAACGCCTCTCCCCTCCGCTCACCGGAATTTTATGCCCCTCTAAGCTCCCTAACGAGACCAAGTTCTTTGGTTTCGGGTTTAAGTTACATAGGAAAGATGGGTTCAAAAAGAAGATTAAGTTTGTAGTGAGTGCGGAGTTATCCAATTCGTTTTCTCAGAATTTGGGTTTGGACTCTCAGGTCAGTTTGGTTTTGCTGTTTCTTGAATTGGTTGGTTTTTATTTATTTATTTATTTTTTGTTTTCTGGCTTTTTTGTGAATTTTTTTTTTCTCGGTTTAATGTAATGGTGTTTGATGAAATGACTGATAGGGTTGTTTTCTGAATGCTGTTTTGTGAATTGCAATTGGGTTATGACGTTTAGATGATGGGGTTCATTTTGGTGGCAACTGAATAAAATATGGGGTGTCTTTTTTGATCTAGAAAGTTGGTTCTGTTCACACTGTGAAACTTGTTGATACTTTAGATACGAGTAAATAAGCTGATGGGTCACTTTCCGTTTGTTTAAAATTCTTTCTGATTGAGCACTGTGTAATAGTTGGAGCTCTGGACATGGTTTCAGTAGCTCCATGCACTTGAGGATGTGGTGTTCTATGGAAGACTTCTCACATTGCCTATTCTTCATTTGGTTCTTGTGTGAGGGAAAAGAAAGGTATCTGCTTGGTTGATTAGTAGCTTTTATAATATTTTTCTTTATTTACAGTCCAAAATAAAACCTGAAATAGCCATTCACAAGAATTATTAAAGTTCATCCTTTGATCATCTGGGTACTTTCCCCTCTCACTGTATTGCAACAAAAATAGCAAAACTTCTTTAAATGCTTTCAGTTTCTACACTTTTGTGGCCTTACATACTTATGTGACCTCACTGCCTTAATATGCTGGTGCTGGCATTTGTATCCGAGTTGTAATGCTATATTTTTCCCCTCACTGGGTTTAGTTTATGGTTTCAGTTCATTCCTTTTGTGAAATTGAGTAAGCAGTTTTCATATAAAAGTTTTGTACTGCTGACTGACACTTTTTTGGTTTAAATAGAAGGCTGTCCAGTCTAATGATCCAACACAGTTGCCTTGGATTGGTCCTGTTCCTGGGGAGATTGCAGAAGTTGAGGCATATTGTAGAATTTTCAGGGCAGCTGAACGGCTTCATGCTGCTCTGATGGATACATTATGCAATCCGTTGACTGGCGAATGTAGTGTTTCATATGATTTCACACCAGAGGAAAAACCATTGTTGGAAGACAAAATAGTTTCCGTGCTTGGCTGCATGCTATCTCTTTTAAGTAAAGGAAGAGAGGATGTTCTTTCAGGAAGATCTTCAAATGCCTTTCGTATAGCAGATGTAAGCATGATGGAGGACAAGCTTCCACCACTCGCCATCTTCCGGGGTGAGATGAAAAGGTGTTGCGAGAGCTTGCACATTGCTCTTGAAAATTATTTGACATCTGAAGATGCTCGAAGCTTGGATGTGTGGAGAAAATTGCAGAGGCTGAAGAATGTCTGCTATGATTCTGGATTTCCCCGTGGAGATGATTATCCCTGCCATACCTTATTTGCAAATTGGATTCCTGTT